AAACCCACCAGCCACGCCTCGGAAGGAAGATGGGGCAATCTACTTCTGTAGTGATACTGCCTTGGAAACCCAAGGAGGGGTCGCTATGAGTCGGGGCCGACTTGATGGCACATAACAACAACAACAACAAGATCTAAATTAAAAATGGAACCTGCCTGCTGGCTTTTTTTTTTTTTTTTTGCCATTGTAGGGTATCTATAAGGAACCTTGGTGGCACAAAGGTTAAGCACTCGACTGCTAACAAAAAGGTTAGCTACTCAGTGCCCCTGTGAGAGAAAGACCTGGCAATCTGTTCTCATAAAAATTATAGCCAACGAAACACTATGGGGGCAGTTCTACTCTGTCATTTAGGGGTGCTGGGAGTCATAATTGACTCAAAGGCACCCGACAACAAGCACAATAACAGGGCATCTAGAGAGTGGGAAACTCAAACTTTTCTTGATGAAAATTGACACAAATCTTCCAAATTTCATCAGTTCTCAAGTCAGCAGCAGTAGTGGTGGTAACGTTGGGACTTGCTCATAGAAAGAGTCCAAAAAATAAATAAATAACCGAGAAAATACTTCAGAAACACTGAGAGAGCATGCTAGACCTACTGAACTGTCAGGAGAACTTGAGAATATCTGGGGATATATTGTAACAATCTAATGTGCTATGTGCTGTCAGTTATGTTTGACAATGCTAATTCAATACAGTCTTCTTTACTACTTTATTCTCAATTTCCAAGGAGAGCTTCCTTGACCTCCTGCACTAGGTTAAGTTCCTCTTCTGCAGAGATACTTAATATCCTAGGCTTCTATTATCCTCACACTTTATCACAGTTTATTGTAATTAACTTAAGTACATTAGATTCCCTGAGGGTAAAAAGTGTATGTGTCTTGCTTACTCAGTATAGTGAGCTGAATTAATGTTAAGCTTATTAGGGTCTTACTAACTGGGACAACCTAAAACATTAGGATAGGTACTTGGAACAAAAACACATTAAGGTCTCCCTTGTAGGAAACTATAGAGATAATTTTGCCTTAGATGGGCCCTAAGAAGCAGCCTACAGCATTTCAGTTTTTAAAATAGTATGGAACAAAATAGAATACTGCCTTTTGCCCCACCAACCCCAGCCTCTCCACACCAGAATCTCCTTTCTCTCTCTCTTATTCTCACAGTCTATAAAATCTTAGAAGGTACCAGATGTTTGGAGGAGGTTGTTCCACACGTCCTAGATTTTAAAGTAGATGCAAGATTTATTATAGCTATATGAATGTAATTTCAGCCTTAACGTTAGTGTTCATATGCTAGGTGTAATCTGCAACATGGCCTCTTGTCAAATGGAACAATTCTTATCTGTGGCATATTGGCATCAATGCCAAACACTTGAAATAACTACAGGTTATTATGGAAACAAAGAGTGTGCCCACAAACTGTTTCCCTCTGGGAAATTTTAATTTAATGTAAATATTTTTCAAGAAAGTCCTTTTGTATTCAGGCAACATTCAAAAGCTAGACTGGGAAAAGTTGTTCAGGAATGTACAGCAACACCTGGGGTAAGTGCCGAAGCAGAGATTGTTAATGCCTCAAAGTACGTTTTTCTCCTACTACACAGCTTCGATTAATGAAAACAGCCTGAAACCACTCTCACATTCCTTCAGCCCTGCCTAGCTTCGGGTACTGTGGAAAATGCCCATTCGTTTTGGCACCATAAGTAGAAGACTGTACTGTTTTTTGTACTGGGGTTTTACAAGTAGCCGAAGGTTCTTGGCAGAGCCAAACTGAGGCTTTCCAAGTGCCAGCAGTCTCTGGGTTATGAATGAGATCTGTTCCGAAGTGTATCTTTAAGTCACATTTCTAGGTAAGTTGGAACAGGTGCATACAGTTCTTATTTAGTCTTACTTTAGTGCAAGAAAATGCTCAAAGCCTTTTCAATGATTTAACAAGTGAAGGTGATTCCGATGAAAAATTTGTTGTAAGTAGGGATTGGTTCAATTGTTTCAAAGTGAGGACAAAAATTGCAGAACGTTAAAGGGCCAAATGTGAGTTGTCCTTAAGTAGGATGTTCATAACTAGGGAACAGTCTGTACTCTAAAATGAGTCTAGCAGCATTTTCTTCAATGTTCTTAGTACCTTTTAAGAAAACAAAAATAAACAAACAAAAAAACCTCTTTACCTAAAAAACCAGATAATTCTTTTTTTTCTTTAATGGCTAATTAATAAGAATCTTTTGAATGCCATGCCCATCCGGGGCATGCAGTTAAACTTCCTGGAAGAGGACTGTGAAAATGCATCCAGAATAGGTGCTTATTTTTTTTCCTTTTTTTTTTTTTTTAATTAAATAAATAACCTTAAAAAGAACTACATATAACTTCAGAAATAGATGGAACACCACTGGGGTTTTGACTTGAACTCTTAAAACTTTTCATTTTGTAAAGGAATCACCTTTCTTTTGACAGGATCCAGACACCAACTGAATTCAAAATAGTTATAAATCACTTTCAATTAATTTGTGGCATTGTAAAGATCATGAAGATTAGCCACCCAATTCCATTCTTGATTTTATTGATGGTTGACTGCATGCCACTGTTAACATTTTAGGTGAACACATAATAATAATGATAATAACCCATAAAATGTATAAACTGGCATGCTAATGTAGCAGACAGAGATGGTTCTTGCAATTGACAGCAACAGAATTGAATAATTTTATGAAAAGATGCTGATGCCGAAAAGTGACAGGCTGCAGGTGCTAACCAGAGAGACCGTTATTATATATAATTTTTGATGGATTACCCATTTGCTCACTGATCTTTGCTGCTGCATCCATGCAAACTGTAACACTGTCATGTCAAATGAATCTGTGTGGAAAATGGGGTTGGCACATTTGACTAATTCATGTAATAAATCAGTAATCTAGCACTTTATACCCGGACAAGCATTAGTAAGAACACATTTTGCTACATAAGTTTATGTTGGTGGTCAATTCTTAATGCCATAGAGAAACCAGAAACTGGAAGAATTGTCTCAGAGACCATTAGGACTAATAAGAAAAGAATGAGATAGGGGGAGAAGGGATATGAAAATGTATTAACATAGTACTAGCTCTTCTCATTAAAGTACATTCAACATATAGAGGGTTCAAATTTTAGTTTTTAAATAAATAATTTTTTGAATATTCTATTTCAGGGATAAGTGCCGAAATTTCCCAAATTGGCATCTGGGAAACCTAATTGATTGAAAGTGTAAGGAGTTTTTTTTTTTTTTTTTAAATGTTAAAACAACTAATGCACACTGAAGAACTGACAAACAAAGAAAGCCAATAACGAAGTCACTATTGTTCTTACAAGTTAAAAAGCCTACATGTTCATTCTTAATCATGTCTTGCTGTAAATAACAAACCCACATGCCCATTTTCGTCAATAAGTTGCAGGCTGACCAAAGACAATGTAATTGTGCTGTGAATTAGGCAGTTTCAGTCCCAAAGTAGAAATCATCTACTAACTCCATTGTGATGCTATGGAATTTAATCTGCTTAAATATATGCAATTTTTTTTGGATTTCTTGAGGAGAGTATGTATTTCATTACGATCATTCAAGTGGATTTTCTGCCAAAATATCTAAATTTATGATACATTATAAGATCAAACTGACTCTTTACTACTATTTTTTTTAATTCACCCCACCAAAAAACTTTGTTGTTATTGTTGTTGTTATTATACACCTTAGCTAAGATAAAAATGCTCAGCAAAGAATCATGTCATCTTTGAGTTAAAAGCGTACCTTCATGATTTAACTATTTAATATCCTCATTTTACAAATGAAGCAAATAAAGTCTAAAGAGGCAAAGCAAGCAACTCAAGGTCATCCAGAGGATTTTGTCTTCCTTTGGCAAGGAGAGAGGATAGCATTTCACTTTATTCTCTCTGAAATGATTTCTGAGCTTTTGTCACATGATTTCCATTTGAGTCAGTTTTTTTTTTTTAAATTTCAAAACCATTTTCTCTGGCCTTACTAAGCATACCAATGTGCTAACCAATGGGTTGTATTGCCAACCTGAATGCCTGTCACCTCAGCACATCTAAGCATAGTCTAATCTATTGGCTTAGATTTCTCTGAATTCTAACACACCTTAGATCTTTTCCCTATCCTACTCAAATATTAGACATTACAAGTCTTCACTCGTGCATTCTGGTTTAGAGGTTTGCATAAATGATGAAGGCCCTCTGAGACTGACAATGCCACTGTTATTTGCACCACTCTGCTTGTCATGATGTAATTGCAGTAAATGCAACTGAAAGTACCTTCATTTGAAGGCCATTTGACAGAGGGGAAGAAAACACATTTACTCTTTCAAGGGCTGTGTATTTTCCAGGGAGAAGCCTGCCTATAAAATTTGTCCTTTTATCCTTGGATAGCTATTTGGGAAATATCTTTTGTCAGTACAGTCCCCTAAATGATTTCTGTTACTCAAGAACAGAGTCATGATTCACGGGTCATCCTCTGTGTTTTCCCTTCCTCTTTTTCTCCTATTGTCTAAAGACTGGAAGTGTTTCATACATGTGCTTGAAGCATCCTTCCCCACAAAATGTGAACAAAAATGTGTATATTTTGGCAAAAATATATTTTCATCATATAAGTTTAAGGAAGAAGTTGTTTACACATATCTGTGACTATGTTGAGGCATTAAAAATGGAAACATGAGACAGCTTGTGGTTTCCTTACAAGATTCTTTGCTAACTTCTCACAGGACCTTGCTGAAATTCAACATGAGTGATTTTATCTTCATCACAGAAGATCAGCTAATTCAATACAGCTGGCTTGAACAATCCTTAACAGGACTACTTATACAAGAAAGGCTTATTCTTCAGGTTACAAAAAGAGGAAGAACAAAGCAAAATAATGTTTATAATGTGCTAAAAGTAGTTCTGTCATAATAACTTTTGATTGGCTCATCAGGTATTGTAAAGACTTACTGTTTCAATGTCTCTGTTACTGGATCCATTTAAAAGTCTTACCTATAAACAGATTCCACTCGGTGTCAAGATCAGCCTGATTTGCCAGACAGCCCTTCATGACGTTAAGGCAGTAGTTGTTGCACGGTCTTACGGAGGGAAGTCCGCGGCAGTATGGGCAGTACAGCATCTTCATAAGTGCGCGGATGCACCCTGGGGTTGGACTGACCTACAGATTTATTGGAAAGAAACAAAAATTAGAAATGAGGATGTAGAAGAGAAAGGAAGAATTAAATCCTTAAAATAAATAAATAGATAGATAGATAGATAGATAAATAGGTTAAGTTAAATGGCTCTGACAAACCTCAAGCAGTAGAGCAAAAAGATAGAGGACCTACAGAATCTTAACTAAAACCAGTTACTGTCCAGTTGACTCTGACTCAGGGAGATCCTGTGTGTGTCAGAGAAGAACTGTGTGCCACAGGGTTCTCACTGGCTGATTTTTCAGAAGTAGATCACCAGGCCTTTCTTCTGAGGTGCTTTGGGTGGACTTGGATATCCAACATTTCAGTTAGCAGCCACGTGTGTTAAACCATTTGTGCTACCCAGGGGCTTCATCAGAATCTCAACCCTTCCTAATACTTGATCTTGGAACCAATCAACTCCTCATAAATACCTCTGGTGTGCATAGTAATGCAGGCAGTCCCTAGATTAGGAACAAGTTCTGTTCCTAAGTCTATCTTTAAGTAAAATTTATACATAAACTGGAACAATTACATACAGTTCATATGTATGTCAGTTAGTCAAGTGTATTAAAGTATAGTCAAGCTTTAGTATACTGTATACATATTTATGCATAAAAATTTTAAAGAAATATTTCCAGATATACTAAAACATCTTTAACATAATACACCAATAATAGTAATATTTTGATGTGCTTTACAAAGAAGCACCCATTTGTTTATTACTAACCATTGTATGTATTTCACATTTACAATATAAGAGGCTTTATTGGGGTTGGTTCATAACTACAAGTTATACGTATATCAGACCTTTGTAACCCGGGCACTGCATGTAATCAATTTTCTTCAAATGTCCCTGTCAACAATTTGATATCTATGCCATTGTAATTCAGCCCTAGAACTTAGACACAGTTTCAGTGCAACAGAACATGAAATAATGCATGTGAAAGCAATTTGCAAAGTTAAAAGCCCCATAAAAATGCAAGTATTATTAAAATTTAATGACACCTTTAGAACATTTTCCAACTGGTTATTTGACCCTGTTTCTAAAGGAGGTTGGCAGATATACTTCCTTTGTATATAACTGTTTCTTTTTTTTTTAAAGGATCAATATCAACTTGTCTGGAATTTCTGAGATCCAGGACTGCTTAGAAGCTGTGGAAATGCAGAAGCATCATCTCCAGGCATCTGCAGGTTTCTAGTTCTGGAAACTGCATGGGATAAGGACATGTAGCCTTGCATGTGAGGAGAAATCCCTGTAGTTAAGAGGAGCTAATATTCAACCAACACTTAAGTGCTATTTGCAGTGAAAAGGAAAAGTATTGCTCCCAAGTTAATAAATTCTAAACAATGTAGAATTTCTTAGGTTCACTGAAAATTTTAATTGACTTCAAAAGGAAAGAATATTTAAAACTGCATGGACTAACCAGGAAAAAAATACAAAAAAACTTTTTTAATGACTAGACACAAAAATTATCATATTTATTTGGTTGGTTCTAAATAATTGGTGTTTTTGTCAAATAACACATTGCTGTACTTATGTTCCTAACTAGTATCATTGGGACCTTTTGGTAATGCAATACTGATAACTATGGTCTTATCTGGGTCCACAGGTGACATCTACTTTTCACGTGGATGGATACATTCTATTATATGGTTATTTTCTCTCATTTTATCCTTTATCTAGAGATTTTTTAATGCAAGGCTTTGGTTTTTTATAACATTTTCTTGATTTTACACTATATACTGAGACAGACTACACATTTTTTTTTTTTTTTTTTGGAAATGGACCAGTTTGATGTTTATTTACTTATTTAATTAAAATTTATAGTTCCCTTTTTCAAGTTTTTTCTCTTTCTTTCCAAAGTTTTATGAAATTTTTCAAGCTTATAGAAAACTTGAAAGATTTTTGTAGTGAATACACATATTCTCACCCTTAGATTCTCATCTAACATTTTCATAGACTTATTACCTGATTTATTAGATAATTACACATATATCCAGCCATTTATCTATCCTCCAATCCATATTATTTTTATG